CAAAGTGCTGGTGGTCGTCTACGTGCAGTTGCCGATGAGTGGACACTTTATCTCAACTCGACACCACTAGGAAGCTTGGGAAAGACATGCTGCTGCCTCCTACAATCCGAGGGTCAAGAACGAGGCTGTGGTTGGCGTCAAGATCGACACGACCTACACTCCTGCTCGGGACCCGGGAATTGCTCCCCCATTATTAGACCTACCTCACCACTCCAAATTGGCCCCGCGCATCGCTGTGAGTGTCCTTGCCTCGTGGACACACTGTTTGACCATCTTCTCGCCTTCCTTATCAAACACCGGCCTCCTGACTTCTTCTTTACCTGTCACCCTCTCTGGGCCGACTCCAGTGTCATTGTTTCCTCTACCACCGAAACAGCCACACAGGTCTGTGTCTTTGGATTCGCTCCCGAGTGACAGCCTATCTGCTTTCACAGCGGACACTTTCGAGATTATCCATTTGGAATTACGGAAGTGAGCTGTTTTAGGTTATTATTTAATCCAATTTTGGTAGCGCTATCAGCCAAAACTTTGTTCAAGGTAGTGCGATCAATGTTTGAAATTCCGATTTGTAAATCAGCTCTGGGTTTGAAAGGGGTATTATGTCATTTGATCTCATGGGTCTGTGTAATGTATTACTTTTTTTGCATTTCAAGGTGATATTTGAGCTTGTGTCATCAGCTGCAGGTCGACGAGCTAGACTGGCATTGGAGCGACTGCAACATCGGTCCTACGAGTGGCTGACCTCAGGCAGTGGAGGCCCATTAACTTATCGCCCAATTTCGACTTTAGGATTGAGGTTGAAAGAAGCGATAGGAACAGCCACTACGTCGGAGAGCGGTGTCCTCTGTCGACGCCCTGCTTGCGCAATGCCCCACATCACGGATCCGAAGATTAGGGCAACAGCCCTCCTCACCGCATTCCTTCTCGCCTTCCCCTACCACACTATTTCGCGCCGTTTCGAAGCTGCTGACGATGCAATCGCCACGGACGATGGTGGTACCCAGGGCGCCATCGTGGAGGCCCTCAGAAGTTCTAATCACTTGCTCTACCACCTGCCTCGTCTACCCAGTCAGACGTGTTTCACTGAACTTACATTGGGCACTCGAAACGAGCTTAATACCCTTTCTAAAATCCTTGCTCAACTCATATCCGTTCGTCGGGCCCCCGGTAGTCGATGCACCGAGAATACGTCAAACTAGGTCCCATCCCTCTTCACTCCCCCTACCCATTACATGAATGTACTGTATAGTCCTTTTGTTATGCTCAGCCTCCTTAATATGGTTATTGTCCGATACTACATAAATCCTTGGCATTTATTGCTGCAAGCCTTTGTGTAAATCAGATTGTGGCTGCTGTGCGTCAGGACTTTAAATACCCATATCTAGGCACCGCAAATGAATTTCTTCCAGCTTAACGTTCATTACGATGTAATTGTTCTCTAAATTTTGATCTTCACTTCCAGTTTTTACTAAAGCCAATCTAAATCTCAAGAGTGGCTGACTCAAGACTGGATGTTCCAATGTG